AGGAATGATGTGCTGACTTTTATCAGTTGAATAGTTTGCCAATAATTTCTCCCATTCTGTTGGTTGCCCCCTCACTTTCCTGAGTGTTTCTTTACAGTGTAGAAGCTTCTCAATTCGATGTAATTTCATTTGTCAAATTTGGCTTTGATTGCATGTGCTTCTGGGGTCTTTTCCAAGAACTCTGTGCTTATGGCAATGTCTTGCAAAGTTCCCTAAAGTTCTCTAATAATTGATGGTATAGATGTATACCATAGATGTAGATCTTTAATCCATTTTCAGTGGATTTTTGTGTAAGGTGTAAGGTAGTGGTCTTGTTTCATACTTCTGCATGTGGAAATCCAGTTTTTCCAGCACCATTTGTTGAAGAGACTATCCTTGCTCCAGGGATTGATTTTACCTCCTTTGTCAAGTAAGTTGGTTGCAGGCACATGAGCTTAATTTTGGCATTTCTATTCTGTTCCATCTCTTTTTGTGCCAGTACCAGGCTGTTTTGATTATAACTGCCAAGTAGTATATCTTTGAATCTGGTATTATGATGCCTCTGGCTTTGTTTTTGTTGTATAGGACTTTCTTTAAGTATTCAGGGTCTCCTTGTTTCCATATGAATTTCAGTGTCATTTTTCTATACCTGAAGAATGTCCTTGGTATTTTGATTGGTATCACATAGAATCTGTAAATTGCTTTTGATAGTATAGACATTTGGATGATACTGATTCTTCCAACATGGAAGATTTTTCCATTTTTTGTGTCTTCTTCTATTAGTTTTTCTTAATATTTTGTAATTCTCATCATAGAGATCTTTGACATTCTCGGTTAAATTTATTCTGAAATACTTGATTTTTTAATTTCTATTGTGAATGGTATTGATCTTAGAAATTCTTTCCCAGACATGGCATTGTCTATGTATACAAAGGCTATTGATTTTTTGTGTTGATTTTATATCCTGTCACTTTCAGTAGTTTCTTAGTGGAGTCTTTTAGATCCCCTATATATAGAATCATGTCATCTGCAAATATGGATAGTTTGGCTTTCTTCCCAATTTGTATCCCTTTCATTTCTTTTTCTTGCCTAATGGCTCTGGCTAAAACTTCCATGACTATATTGAGTAGCAACGGTGAGTGTAGGCATCCTTGTCTAGTTCCAGATCTCAGTGGAAATGCTTCCAACTTTTCCCCATTCTATAGGATGCTGGCCATGGGTAAGTCATAAGCTTACTTGATTTGTGTTGAGGAATCTTCCTTCTATATACCCAATTTGCTTAACATTTTCATCATTAAAAGGTGTTTTATTTTATCAAATGCTTTCTCTGAATCTATTGAGATAATATTATTTTTGTTCTTCAATTTGTTAATGTGAAGTATTATATTGATTGATTTGCTTATGTTGAACCATCCCTGTAAACCAGAGATAAATTCCATTTGTTCCAGGTGAATGATCTTTCTACTGTGTTCTTGGATTCAATCAGCTAGAATTTTGTTGAGGATTTTTGTGTCTATGTTCATCAGGGAAATTGGTCTGTAGTTTACCTTCTCAGCTGCATCTTTTTCAGGTTTAGGAATTAAGGTGATGCTGGCTTCAAAGAAGGAGTTTGGGGTTTTCAAATCCTGGAAATAAATAAAAAAAACTTGAAATATTCCAAGATGCACATAATTATGAAAAATGGCTGATCCTCCTTCTGTAAAATATTGAATTTTGTGGTGTTTTAACTTTCTATCTCCATTCCTTTATCTCCATGGAAATCCTGAACTCCAACAATCTGGAAACCAAGGTAACCATGACAATACACAGCCACACGGAAGGAGAGGGGCAGCAAAGGTCTCATCCAGAGAATGGCCCCTACGTGATGGCCTCAGGTCTTTCTTTATTGATTGGTGAGCGTTGAACCACCCTTACGTTTCTGGGATAAATCCCATTAGATCATGATCTTTTTGATGTGGTTTTGGATTCGATTTGCTAGGATTTTGTTGAGAATCTTTGTATGTACGTTCATTAAGGATAAAGGTCTATAGTTTCCTTCTTGTGTTGTGTCTTTGGTTTGAGTATCAAAGTAATGGTGTCCTCATCAAATGAGTTTGTCAGAGTTCCATCCTACTCAATATTTTGAAACAGTTTGAAGAGTATTGGAGTTACCTCCTCTGTGAATGTTTTGTAGAATTCAGTAGTAAAGCCATCATGTCCTGGACTTTTCCTTCATGGAAGACTTTAGATTACTGCTTCAACCTCATTGCTTGATATGGGTATATTTAGGTTGCATATATCTTTTTGATTTAATCATAGTAGGTTATAAAATCCAGGAATTAATCCATTTTGTCAAAGTTTTCCTGTTTATTAGCATACAGTTCTTCATACTAATTTCTTAAAGCCGTACTTCTGTTTTTAAGATTTATTTTATTTATTTGAAAGAAAGAGTTAGAAGGAGGGAGAGACAGAGATAGATAAAGGTCTTCCATCCAGTGGTTCACTCCCTAAATGACTGTGATGACTGGAGCTGAGCCGATCTGAAGCCAGGATCCAGGAACTTCTTCCAGGTCTCCCATGTGGGTGCAGAGGCCCAAGCACTTAGGCCACTTTCTACTGCTTTCCCAGACCATAACAGAGAGCTGGATCAGAAGAGCAGCAGCTGAGGTGAGACCCTGCATCCTAGCTAAACCGTAAACTATTCTACAATAAAATCTAATCCATAAAGAAGAGGGGATGAGTACACTAGATGGACAGACATTAATCTATGGACACAAGAAACATGAAGAAGCAAAGTAGCATGACACCTTTTTTTTTTTTTTAAAGATTATTTATTTGAAAGGCAGAGTCAAAGAGATGCAGAAGCAAAGGCAGACAGAGGGAAGGGGAGAGGGAGAGGGAGAGGGAGAGGAGGAGAGAAAATCTTCCATTTGCTGGTTCACTCCCCAGATGGCTGCAATGGCTGTAGCTGCACCAATCTGAAGCCTGGATCCATGAACCTCTTCTGGGTCTTTTATGCAGGTGCAGGGACCCAAAGACTTGGGGACATCTTCCACCGCTTCCCCAGACCATAGCAGAGAGCTGGATCAGAAATGTAGTAGCAGTGATTCAAGCAAGCACCCATATGGGACATCAGCACTGCAGGCAGTGACTTTACCCACTACGCAACAGTGCTGGCCCCTAGCATGCTGCCTGCAAAAGAACGCAATGATCCTTGAGAATTAGATCCTGAACTGAAGGAAATATATAAAATGACAGATATGGAATTCAAAATAATGTTTGTAAAGAAACTCAATGAGATGCAAGAGAATACAGATAGATTAAAGAAATGAGATCAATGACTGATACGAATGAAAATATTTCTAAGGAGATAGAATTCATGAAGAAGAACCAAATAGAAATTTTGGAGATGAAACCACAGTCAGTGAAATAAAAAATAAAATTGAGAGCTTCAACAGCAGATATGAGATACCATTAAATGACTAAATATTCATATCATAGGTATTCCTGAAGGAGAAGAAAAGGAAAAGGGTGTTGATAACCTGTTAAATGAAATGCTAGTTGAAAATCTCCAAGGTCTTGAAAGAGACATGAACATCCAGATACAAGAAGCTCAAAAAATCCTGAGCCAGCTCAACCAAAAACAGTCTTCTCCAAGGTGTATTGTCATCAAATTTTCAAAAGCAAAAGATGAAAAAGGAATCTTAAAGACAATTAGAGAAAAGCATCAAGTTGCATACAAAGGAAAACCAATTAGGTTGACATCAGACTTCTCACTGGAAATCTACAGGCCAGAAAAGAATAGGATGATATGTGCAAGGTCTTAAAAGAAAAAAAAATCCAATTGAGAATATTATATTTAGATAAGTTAGCCTTTAAAAAAGAAAGTATTTTCCAGATAAGCAATCACCACACCAACCTGACAAGATAATCTTAAGGGTGTCCTGCTTTAGAATTGAACATGAAGCACATGTCACATTCAGTTTCACTAACAGAGCAGGTAGGATCATTATCCAATCAACACAATTACAGGTCTTAGTTCTTATCTATTAATGCTAACTTTGAATGAATATGGATTAAATTACCTAACCAAAAGACTCAGGTTGGCTGAATGGATAAAAATCCAAGAACCCACTATATGCTGCCTACAAGCAGCTTACTTCACAAATAAAGATACACACAGACTGAAAGTGAAGGGTTGGAAAAAGATACAACAGACCAATGATAAAGCAAACTTTAAATCAAAAACCTGAAAAGAGATCAAGAAGGACATTATTTTGATAAATGTTTATATTCTGGAAGAAGACATAACAATCATAAATATATATATATGCAGATATATACAGCAAATACTATTAGACCTAAAAGGAGAGATAGACTCCAATACAATAAAAATAGGTGACTTCAACACCCCACAATATAGTCAATGCACTGATCTTTCAGACAGAAAATCAATATAAACACATCAGAATTGAAACCTACTACCAAGAAAATGGACCTAACACAAATTTATAGGACATTTCACTCAACAGTTATGAATATATATTCTTCTCATCAGCATGTCAGACATTTTCTAGGATAGACCAGAAACCAAGTCTCGGCAAATTTAAAAAAGACTGAAATCATATCATGTATCTTCTCAGACCATAAAGGAAAAAAGAAACTAGAAATCAACAATAAAAAGAACAAGGGAATACTCATAAATACTTGGGAATTAAACAACATGCTCTGAATGATTAATGTTTCACTGAAGAAAGTAAAAAAGAAATAAAAAACTTTCTTGAAATAAGTGAAAATGAAAACATAACATATCAAAATCTATAGGATACAGCAAAAGCAGTATTAAAAGGGAATTTCATTTTTTTCAGAAGGTAGTAATGAATATAATAATCTTTCACAGGATATTTTAATTATTTATGAAAGAAAATTCCCCATGGATCTCATTTTTCAATATCATAAAATAAGAATTAAACTCACTAAATGCTTGAGAAAAAAATTAATGAGATAGATTTTTAAAAATTACTCTGAAGTACTAGAATAATTGTATTTTATAACATTGTATACTTGTTTCAGAAAGTGCTTACCATGATTGTGTAAAGCATATATGTCCTAAAAAGCAAAATCTCAACAAATTAATTCTTATGCTCTAATTGTTTTTTATAGAGGGATTTTATTTAATAAACATAAATTTCATAAGTACAATTTTTGGATTATAGCAGTTCATCCCCCCATTCCCTCCATGTCACCCCCAAACCATCCCATCTCCCTCTCCCTCTCCCATCCTATTCTTCATTAAGGTTTATTTTTAATTATCTTTATATACAGAAGATCAACACTATACTAAGTAAAGATTTCAACAGTTTGCACCCACACAGACACAAAAAGCATAAAGTGCTGTTTGAAGACTAGTTTTACCATTAATTCTCATAGTACAATTCATTAAGGGCAGAGTTCCTACATGGGGAGAAGAACTCAGTGACTCTTACTGATTTAACAATTGACACTCTTATTTATGATGTCAGTGATCACCCAAGGCTCTTGTCATGAGCTGCCAAGGCTCTGGAAGCCACTTGAATTCACAAACTCCAACCTTATTTAGACAAAGCCATAGTCAAAGTGAAAGTTCTCTCCTTCCTTCAGAGAAAGGTACCTCCCTCTTTAATGGCCCCTTCTTTCCACCGGTATCTCACTCACAGAGATCTTTCATTTAGGTAATTTTTTTTGCCACAGTGTCTTGGCTTTCCATGCCTGAAATGCTCTCATGGGCTTAAAAGGGAATTTTATAGCATTAAGTGCTTATATTAAAAAAAGAGAGAAATGTCTAAAATTAAAGACCAGTGTCTAAAATGTCTAAAATTAAAGACCTAATGATGCATCTTGAAGACAAAAAAATGAAAAAGGCAACAATAACAAACCAAACCCAAAATAGACAGGAGGTGAAAATAATAAGTATTGGAATAGAAATAAATGAAATTAAAACTAAAAAAAATACAAAAGGTCAACAAAACAAAAAGTTGGTTTTTTGAGAAGATAAACAAAAGATAAACCTCTAGCCAGACTAACAAAGAAAAAAGAGAAAAAACTCAAATGATTAAAATTAGAGATGAAAAGGAGGCATCACAACTGACATCTGACGTAAGTGAATACAAAGGAGGAAAATTACCAGGTTTTTTTTTTTTTTTTTTTTTTTGACAGGCAGAGTTAGACAGTGAGAGAGACAGAGAGACAGAGAGAAAGGTCTTCCTTTTCCGTTGGTTCACTCCCCAATGGCTGCTGCGGCCGGAGAGCTGCAGCCGGTGCACCGCGCTGATCAGAAGGCAGGAGCCAGGTGCTTCTCCTGGTCTCCCATGGGGTGCAGGGCCCAAGCACTTGGGCCATCCTCCACTGCACTCCCGGGCCACAGCAGAGAGCTGGCCTGGAAGGGGGGCAACCGGGACAGAATTCGGTGCCCCAACTTGGACTAGAATCTGGAGTGCTGGCGCCGCAGGCGGAGGATTAGCCTAGTGAGCCACGGCGCCTGCCAATTACTGGTTTTTAAAAAAATATTTATTAATTTATTTGGAAGACTGACAAAGAGATGCAGAGACAAATACCCAGAGAGATCTTTATTCTTCAAATGTGCAGAATGACCCAGGGTGGGCCAGGCTGGAGCCAGGCGCCAGGAACTCCATCTTGGTCTGCCTCATAGCCATCAGGAGCCCATGTACTTGGGTCATCTTCAGCTGCTGTCTTAAGCACATTAGCAGGCAGCTGGATCTAAAGCAGAGCAACCAGGACTGGAACTGGTGCCTGTGCCACAACCCCGGCCCCTAATTAGTGATTTTAACATTTCTCACAACAAATAGCCTAGGCCTATTGGTCTTTGCTGCTTTATTTTTGCAAATATTTTGGGAAGAAACAGTGGCAATTCTGTCCCCCCTCACTCTACCCCCAAATAGGAAGGAATGCTTCCCTACTCATTCTGAGCTGTGTTTTCCTGATACCAAAGCTAACCAAATAAATCACAAAAAAGAAAACCACTGACTAACATCACTTGTGAATGTAGTTTAAACCAATCCTCAAAATGTAATAATTAAAGTTAAATTTCCCAATAGGAATCCTAAGGTGCTCTTTTCCCAATCCAAGCACTGTTTTTCTGTGGCAGTAGTCTACATAGCACTCACTATTCACTCAACCTGCTGGCTTTGAAATGATACATTTATTTAGAAACACTTAGGGGGATTTTGCTACTTCACATTTTATGCATAAAATATGAACATTTTTATGTATCATACTTCAATAAACAAAACTTATATTGGCATAAAATGTAAAAACATTGCATGCCTTTTATGCCAATATAAAAACTATTCATGTCCTATCTTGTTAATGTGAATAATCTATGCAAATATTAGTTTCACAGTAGTATGCAGCAAAGCAAAGGCTGTTTCCTTTTTGGTAGATTGAATGTGTGTGAGACTGTCTCTGTATATCTTAGAACATAAATTAATAATTTAGTGGTGTTCTTTCATCACCTGGCTGATCCTTGCATCATTTGTCATTCTTTTTGTACCCCTCATAAATCCATACCTGCTCATGCCAAAGAGCGCTTTCATTGTAAAGACTCTATTAGGGAAATTGTAGAAAATGATTGTGTCTATCTTGAATTACTATTAGTTCAGACTTTGAGGTACAGCATCAATATTAACTCTATTTCTATAACTTTACCCAGAAGTTTCTATTACTGTGTCTATTTGGCACCATATCATTCTGTACAAATGATGAAAGCAGCCACAGACTATCTGGCTTTTCTTTTACACCCGTTCAAGACAAACTTTGAAAGTGTTTCATTTCTGATGTTGCATTGTTTGAGGGGTGAGGCTGAGGGGATATTGGGAAGAGGAAAGAAAATTAAGAACAGAAAATGTAAACTGTTATAATAATTTAAATATTTTTTATATGTTCCTATATTTAAAATAGGAAAACTTCCATGGTAAAAGTAACTACACAGTTTCCTCTTGTGTATAGACATAGGAAATCAGTAGGAAGGTAGGTAGCTTGTTAACAACAACAAAAAACGGATGAGTCACAAAATTAGAGTTTTCTTCGCCCATCAGAGAGCTGAGGTCTTCAGGACACGTGCAGCCACCAAGGACAGCCATGCGCTGAACAATCCCTTCAGCCAAGGACTAAGTGAATACGGAATGGCTGTTCCATGAAGTTATAATGGACATAACCCATGAGGTTATGACATCAGCAACTGCCAGTGATGTATAGTCATCGTGACACCCTTGTTTACTGCATTCCTCATACATGTATGTGGTGATGCTGTCGTAAATCAACTACAGAGCTATCAGTTGTGTAAAGTACAGCTCCTAGCAGTGATGCACAGAATATTATTGATAGTGATCATTAATGATTCTTACAGGCTAATATATTTGCTACTATATATTATACCTCGTATTATTATTTTAGATTCTCCTCCTTCCAACTATTTAAAAAAGGGTTGTTATAAAACCATCTGCTGTGTTATGCTAGCGGCAGCCTCATACTGCTTGTGCCTACCATGACTCTTGGTTAGATCAGTAGGTGATGATGAGTGAGTGACTGTTCTGGGGTTGTGAAAGTGTACTTGAGGATGTTTGCACAACAATGAGACTGCCTAAAGATGCAGTTCTCAGAACATGTCCCAGTCAGTGATACAGACTCCAAAATGGGCCATCTCCTTCCCCTCAAGTAGAGTTGGCCATAAAACCCCTGGTCCCTGGAGGAGGAGATTTACAAAAGAGAAAGAAGAAATCAGCTGAACTGTTCAGGAGTTATTAGAGGCAACACAGCCTGGACTGCTTGGCATACACAAGCAGAGGTCGCACAAACTTGGGGTCTTGGCCTTCTGGCACCTTGTATGAAGTCCTCTAGTTTCTCACTGTGTGTTTGAAAGTAACTGAATTAACATGGAATCCAAATGACTTAATTGCACTCGAGAGCCTTCCTGTTGTGCAGTCTGTGTTATGCGGCTGCCTGGTAGTGTTTTGGAGGCTACCAAACACTGCATGTCCTTCTACAGTAGAGGTGCATAGAGCAGAATCCAGAGCCCATATATTCTGACAATGCACAAATAAAACAACTAATCAAATACAAATGAAAGAGGCAGGCATTGGAAAGTAGGATAAGCATGTCAATGCTTCATGTATTATAGCTGGGAGCCAAAGGGAACCCTCTAAACCTATGTAATCAAGTAATAGAATTTCAACATAAGACCACAAAGGTAATGGTGTAGGGGAGAATCTATGACTATCTGATTTTATTGTTGCTGTTAATAAAGAACAAATATATTATATCCAATGAAATTAGAAATGTAGGGTATTACTTAAAGGTGTAAAAGTAAGTCACAAGAACAAAAATTAGAAACCTTTCTAAATTAGAACAAAAAATAAAAAGAAGACAACACAGGGAAAGACCTTTTTAGTATATAAAACCAATGACCAATGCAGGTAGTACTAAGTAGTACATTTATGGACAAGTAAATCTGCCATATCAAGGCATGCAAATGGCCTTAATTTAACCCATGAAAAGAATCAGACAGGATCACAAAGCAAAATTACACTCTGTTGTACTTTAAGATGCACATCTAAAACCAGGTGATTCAGAATGTTTGAAAATAGATGTATGAGTGTGTGTGTGTGTATGTGTGTGCACACAAGGAAAATGAAAATTAAGGGAGAGAATATATTGGAATTTTATAAGTCAAGGTATAATTCAGAGAAAAAAGTAATTAAAGAAATGAGGTATTATACCAACATGTACAATTCATATAATGAAGATCCAACAGTTTTGAATATTGTGCAGCAAATAACAGTATTGTATTTTATATAGTGATATTTATAGAATCAAAAATTTTTTGCAAGTAGCTGAAAAAGAGGTAATAATATAGAAGATATAATTAAACTTATATTAGAACATTGGCCAGAGCCGCGGCTCACTAGGCTAATCCTCCGCCTTGCGGCGCCGGCACACCGGGTTCTAGTCCTGGTCGCGGTGCCAGATTCTGTCCCGGTTGCCCCTCTTCTAGGCCAGCTCTCTGCTGTGGCCAGGGAGTGCAGTGGAGGATGGCCCAAGTCCTTGGGCCCTGCACCCCATGGGAGACCAGGAGAAGCACCTGGCTCCTGCCTTCGGATCCGGCCGCAGCGCACTGGCCGCGGCGGCTACTGGAGGGTGAAGCAACGGCAAAGGAAGACCTTTCTCTCTTTCTCTCTCACTGTCCACTCTGCCTGTCAAAAAAAAAAAAAACGTATATTAGAACATGAAAACATCTTTATTCATTGTAAAACAAACTAGAAAAAATATGGTCTGCATTCTGTTATGTCAATAATGAAGCTGAATTTAATTATTAAATTTTTAAAATGTCATTTTGGCTAAAATTTGAAAAAATTATAGTAAGTTATACTTGTGTCAAATGGAACCAAAAAATAAATATAAAAAAAAAAATAAAAAAGTAAACACTGAACTTTTAGAAAATGACAGTAACTAAAACATCTAACAAACCCATGGTGAAGATTAAAGTGACATTCAAAAAATTTTCTTAAATACTTATGTATTTTTAAGAAAATAACCTAGGCACTTGATTAAATATATTACTAAAATACGGTAATGTAAATACATGCAAGAGAAAAATAATTTTTGAAAAATAAAAAAGAAATTCATTGTTCACAGCACAAACATTAAAAACAATCAATCAACACTTGAGATGAGAAGGTATTTGCTTATTCGCTTGAGAGGCAGAGACAGAGAGAAAGAAAGAGAACTTCCCTCTGAGTCACTCTTTTTTTTTTTTTTTTTTTTTTTTTGACAGGCAGAGTGGACAGCGAGAGAGAGAGAGAAAGGTCTTCCTTTGCCTTTGGTTCACACTCCAATGGCCACTGTGGCCTGTGCGCTGCGGCCGGCGCACCGCGCTGATCCGATGGCAGGAGCCAGGTACTTATCCTGGTCTCCCATTGGGTACAGGGCCCAAGTACTTGGGCCATCCTCCACCGCACTCCCTAGCCACAGAGGAGAGCTGGTCTGGAAGAGGGGCAACCAGGACAGAATCCGGTGCCCCGACTGGGACTAGAACCCGGTGTGCCGGTGCCGCAAGGCGGAGGATTAGCCTAGTGAGCTGTGGCGTTGGCCTGATTCACTCTTCAAATGCCTGCAACAGCCAAGGCCAAAGCTGGAAGCCAAGAAGCAATTTAGACCTCTCACATGAGAGTCAGGAACCACCACTGCTACTTCCAAAGATGGGCACTAGCAGGAATCAGGAGTCAGGAGACAGAGCTGGGAATCCTACCCAAGTACTCTCCTGGGGGGCTCAGGTGTCTGAACTGCAAGGTCAAATGCCAACTCCCAAAGCTGAAATTGTGGAAAAAGTTAAATAAAAATTTATATACCATCATCAAATCTGATCAGTGCAAAAAGTCTAAGTTCACAAAACAAGAAATTACACTCAAGATAATCACAGAAACACAGGAAAATATTTTTTAAAAATCACAAAGCCATTTTGCATAGCCATGAAATAGATTTGAAATTCTAAATTAAAAATAGTGAATTTCCATGGAAATAGAAAAAGTTAAGACTTTTTTCATAAGATGTAAAAATGAAAGTTTTCAGAGATACTCCCTCTGTCCTGAAGCAAAAATTGGACTAAGATTTTCACAAGTGATAAATACCAAAATTTTCAAAGAAGATAATTCCAACGCTATTTAAGATGTTCTAGAGATTTACAAAAGGAAACTCTTTTTTTTTTTAGTGTTTTCAGTTTTTAAATTTTCTTTGGAGAACTCATTTTACTATGCATTATAGTCAAAGGCTTAGTGGCTCTACTGAATAGAGTCCAACAAATAAAAAGTAAAAGGCCAATAGACCAGTAGAATAATAGGCAAGGGCTGTAAACAATAATCTAATGAAAAGGTTTTCAACTTCACTCATATAAAGCAAATTTTAAAATAGTCACAAAATGATTAATACTATAATAGTATGTAATTCCTATTAATTTTTTGAGAAATGTTTCAAGTGAAGTTTAAAGTAGATAAATTTGAAAAATATTCTACAGTAAAGAGAATTATATATCACTTTTTGAAATAGCATTTCAAAAGTCCCTGTTTAAAAAAGGAAAGAAAATCCTTTGCACAAATCATGATATATTACGATCCAGTAGATTTTATTCCAGTATTACTACAATCATTCTTCACAGGAAATCCATAATATAATTAAATTATATGAATCATTGAATAGTTCCATGGGGAGAACAATTTAAATCACTGGCTCTATAGAAAAACCAAAAGCATTTTCATAGTTAAGGCACCATTTTAAAATTATTGACTGATGGATATTTAACTTGGTAATTTAACCTCCAAATCAACATTTTTGAGAGGCAAAGAGAGCCCTCCTAGCTGTTGGTTCACTCCCCAAATGTCAGCAATGACAGGGATGCGCTTTGGCCAAAGCCAGGATCTGAGAAAGCAATCTATGTCTCCCGTGTGGGTGGCAGGAGCCTAAATACTTGAGCCATCACCACTACCTGCCACAGTCTGAATCAGCAGGGAGTTGGAATCAGGAGTCAAAGCCAGGTATTGAATTCTCCAATGTGGGACACAGGCATTTTTTTTAAAATGTTTGCTCAACCTAGAGCTAAGAGTATTTTTTTGTTTAAAGATTTATTTATTCGAAAGCAGAGTTACATCTCAGTCTCAGTGAGACTTCCATCCACTGGTTAACTCCCCAAATATCCACAACAGCTAGAGTTGGGCCAATCTGAAGCCAAGAGCCAGGTGCTTCTTCCAGGTTTCCCACGTGGGTGCAGGGCCCAAGGACTTAGGCTATCTTCCACTGCTTTCCCAAGCGCATTAGAAGGGAGCTGAATTTTAAGTGGAACAGAGGGGACTCAAACCGGCTCCCATATGGTGCCAGCCTTGACGTGGGCATCTTAACCATTAGACTAAACATGGCCTCCTCAGCATTTTCTTTGTAGGGGAAATATCTGTTAAGAATAAGACAGGAATGCAACTAATGCAATCTAATTTTAAGTCGTCAATGAAATATATAATAAGAAAAATCAGAAAATATCTGAAAATATAGAGCATTGGGAGGGGCCATCTTTGGCACACAAAAATATTCAAAGATGGAACAGAATGGCAGTTACCCATGCATAGCCAGGTCATGGGGACACAAGAAAAGGTCAGGAACAGAAGCTTAACACGTAGGGATCTAGAATGTGGTGCTGATAGCTTTCTCAAGTCAGATATGCAGAAATATGAAATTATAAAAATACCAATAGCACACTAATGAATCATTGGTACCTTGGAATATTAGGAGGTCTTTCTAGCTCTGGTCGCAACTTCAGAAGTTATAAAAGCAAAGGCCAAGTTTGTCAATTTGTGAATTTGCAATTACACACTATGCAAACTTTCTCTCACAGATGGACAGATGGGCTGCATATAGACAACAGCCCCATAAGATTATATTGTCTGGTGATGTGGTGGCCTTAGTTTGTGTAAGTCTAGTCTATGGTGCTTGCACAATGACAAAATCATTGCATGTGTCAGAATATACTCCTGCCACTAAGTGATGTGCTACTTTATATTGCTTTGATTTTTAAATTATATGCTATTACCTATTCAAAAATATAATTATATTAACAATATTATAGGTCTAGCTTTCAAAGTTTCTTTCTCTCTCTCTCTCTCTCTCTGTTTATTCATTTCATGCCTCTTCACAAGTGGCTCAGAAATTAAAGAAGAGGCCGATGCTGTAGCATAGCGGGTAAAGCTGCTGCCTGCAGTGCTGGCATCCCAAATGGTTTGAGACCTGACTGCTCCACTTCTGATCCAGTTCTCTGCTGTGGCCTGGGAAAGCAGTGCAGGATGGCCCAAGTCCTTGGGCCCCTGCACCAGGGTGGAAGACCCAGAGGAAGCTCCTGGCTCTTGGCTTTGGATTGGCACAGCTCCACCCATCACGGCCAGTTGGGGAGTGAACCAGAGGATGGAAGACTTCTCTCTTCTCTCTCTCTCTGCCTCTTCTTCAATCTCTGTGTAACTCTTTCAAAAAAATGAATAAATCTTTTAAAAAAAAGAAATTACAGGAGATATTTCTGTGACCAGTTCGCCCCTCTCACAGAAGTGTTCTGTAATGCAATTTCACAGAAACATCAGGTTCCTTCAGGAAAACGCACATGACATGAACTCTCCCTCTAACATCCACAGGAGAGTGGCCAGCACTGTCCCAGACAGGAACTGGATGATTTTTCCAACTCCATCACCCAAGAATGGTGTGGTTAGCTGGGTAGACCTGGACCTTCTCTTGGCCATTTCCTTGTTTCTATGAGATGAGGTGGACGAATCATACCAGCCCTTGGGTTCTTCCGGTCTGGGCAAAGATGCACTCTGTGAGCCGTGCTCAATCAGACTCCATGTCACAGGCACTTTTCAAGCAACTTCTCAAATTTGTCTTGGAAGGAACTGTCTCACTTTCCATGTATGCAACCAGTTTATAGGTTAAGTAGAATTTAAAAAATTCCCTGTGCTGTCTGCATCTCCATTAGCCTAAGGTCTCTCTTCTTATGCCTTTTGAAAAATTATTTTTGATTTGTGCACTCATGCAGAAAAGCAGTGAATTCAAAGCTATTATCAAACAAAGAGGACAAGGAATGGATACAAACCTGGAAGGGTGACAGTGACTCTGGTGACCCTCTTGTTATTGCTGAAAAAAAGAAGTAACAAGAATCCGTTGCATTCTAGAAATGCAGAGCAGTCATGTAAAAGCCCCATAAATTTCTTAGAGTAAATTTCTTAGAGTAAATCTGGGATTACCACCTGCCTAGTTAGTATTTTCTTATTTTATTTTTTTAAAGATTTATTTATTTATTTGAAAGTCAGTATGCTCTCTCTCAGTATTTTTTTGTTTGTTCTACTTAATACTATTAGCTGAATTCTGTAATTAATACACAGTTATTCTTAAGTGTTGAAACTTAACTGAAAAGTGATCCCTGTTAAATATAAGAGTGGGAATAAGAGAGGGAGGAGATGTACAATTTGGGACATGCTCAAGCTGACTTACCTCAAACGGTAGAGTTAGAAACATACCAGGGGATTCCAATTCAATCCCATCAAGGTGGCATGTACCAATGCCATCTCACTAGTCCCAGTGATCAATTTCTGTTCACAATTGATCATAATGATAGGACTAAGAACCAAAGGGATCACATAAACAAAAATAGTGTCTGCAAATACTAACCAATAGAATAAAAAAGGGAGAGAACAATCCAACATGGGAAGCGAGATACACAGCAGATGTCCTAAACAGCACTCTAGCCTCAGAATCAGCCCTTAAGGCATGCGGATCCGGCTGAAAAGCCCATGAGAGTATTTCAGGCATGGAAAGCCAAGACACTCTGGCAAAACAAAACAAAACAAAACAAAACAAAAAAACACAACAACAAAACCTAAATCAAAGATCTCCGCGAGTGAGATCCCAGTGGAAAAAACAGGTCATCAAAGAAGGAGGTACCTTTCTCTGAAGGGAGGAGAGAACCTCCACTTTGACCATGGCCTTGTCTAAATATGATCAGAGTCGGTGAACTCAAAAGGCTTCCATAGCCTTGGCAACTCATTGCTAGAGCCTAGGGTGATTGCTGATGCCATAAACAAGAGTGTCAATTTGTTAAGTCAACAACAGGAGTCACTGTGCACTTACTCCTCATGTAGGATCTCTGTCCTTAATGTGCTGTACATTGTGATTTAATGCTATAACTAGTACTCAAACAGTCACTTTGTGTTTCTATGTGGGTGCAAACTGTTGAAATCTTTACTTAATATATGCTAAATTGATCTCTGCATATGAAGAGAATTGAAAATGAATCTTGATGTGAATGGAAGGGGAGAGGGAGCGGGAAAGGGGAGGGTTGCGGGTGGGAGGGAAGTTATGGGAGGGGAAGCCATTGTAATCCATAAGCTGTACTTTGGAAATTTATATTCATTAAATAAAAGTTAAAAAAAAAGTAGTGGCTTTACCAGCTGCACCACAGCACTGGCCCCCAATCTTACTTTAAAATAGATAGCATAATTGGTTTTTCAGATCTAAATCTAAATGAACGTTTATTTTGTCACTCTTAAACAATTAAAGTCCACATTTGTTTTCCAAGTGGCAACTGACTTTAGTAATTATAATTTTATTGCCCTTATCGCAATGATGCAATTTTCATTTGGAGGTGACTACTGAATCCTTTCTCAGCATACTGCATTTAAATAATCTACTATACTTCACTCTGGTAAGCATTAAAAACTAAAAAATTCCAGGGCAGGCATTGTGGCACAGTGGGTAAAGCTGCTGCCTGCAATGCCGGCTTCTCATATAAGCATGTTTTTTTGTCCCAGCTGTTCCATTTCAGATTCAGCTCCCTGTTAATGGCCTGGGGAAAGCAGCAGAAGATGGACCAAGTGTTTGGGCCCCTGCCACCCATGTGGGAGACCCAGATGAAACTCCTAGCTCCTGATTTCAGCCTGGCTCAGCCCTGACTGTTGTGACCACCTGGGGAGTGAACCAGCAGATGGAAAATATCTCCCTCTGTATCTCTTTCAAGTAAAATAAATAAATCTCAAGAAAAGTTAAATGCTGTTATACTCTTAGTGTTATTCAATCAATCTAGGAAGACTGATACAGCTTGTGTGAAATGATTGAGAAGTCATGGGGCCAGTGCTGTGGTGAAGTAGATTAAGCCTCCACCTGCAGCACCAGCATCCCATATGGGTGCCAGTTCAAGTCCTGGCTACTCCATTTCTGATCCAGCTCCCCGCTAATGGCCTGGGAAAGCAGTAAAAGATGGCCCAAGTGCTTGGGCCCCTGCACCCGCATGGGAGACCTGGAAGAAGATCTGTAACTCTGCCTTTCAAATAAATAAATAAATAAATAAAACTTAAAAAAAAACTACTTTCCCTTACTTAGCCCTAATTCTTTCAAATTTACATGCATTTACAGATGAAAGATTTTAGCAAATTAGATATATTTGTAAGTTTGACCATTGAACTGATTTAGTGATATCACACAGTTTTCTGATCCAAGATTATTATTTATAAATAATTGTAATAAAATCATGGAATATTAGGTATCACAGCAGGGTCATAAGTTACATAAGGAGCTTCTTAATGGTTGCAAAATACATTATAGGTAACTATAAAGAAGTAATGGTGGTTAAGAATCAGAGACCATTGAAATAGTCTACATATAAGACATGTTTAAGTGAATTTTTACTTGGAGAGATCATGCATTAGATAATAATAATTCTCCCATTGCCTGAAGAAATGATATTTAAATGTTCCAATCAATTTCTTACACTATTTGTTGTCTGAGCACCCTGATCTCAGATTTCTCTAGCCTTCTTACAGCAGTGGGTGAGCGTACACAGGAAACACACCCGCTTGCTTGAGGCCACCAACAAGCTAGGTCCACACCCAGCTCTGTCCTCAATTTCTCACAGGCTTTACAGACAGCAGTGGCAGGCACTGTACCAAGGAGGTACAGAGCAGAGTTGTATCAGTTTCTGGGCCCACTGAGGAGCTGAAAATGTAGCAGTCTTTGGGCAGCCTGACCAGCAGAAAAAGCTATCAGCCAGGGGTCTGCCCTGTTGTCATCACATCAGTTGCCATAGAGACACAGATAAGGGTGCATAACAGTGTGGAGACTTGATATCTTACATGTCACTGTGGAGGTGCAAAATATCCACTCTTATTGGTAGTGGCATTTCCTTGGTGCCCCCCAGCAGGCTGGACAAACTCCTGGGGTGCTGTGTTGTCCTCCTGGGAGACATCCAGCTCACACAGCGGTTCTGTTGATTCAGGAGCAATAACCGCTGGCTTGCAGAAGCTTAATAGAAGGGCTGGCGAAGAGAGTGCAGGCATTTGTCCACTTCCTGGTTTTAAAGTCTTCCTTATACTTAACGGTCCCGGTCGTGGTCTGAAAGCGTCCTCTTTATATTCCAGATGTTACTAACGTGGTGGTGTTCAGAAGTGGTAATGCAGCCATGAGCACTGCTTTTTAAAAAGAGACTTCGAGGACTTGGCTTGTTCCCCTTGCCTTTCCACCTACTGCCATGTGAGCATGGAGCAAGAAAGCCCCCACCAGATGTCAGTGCCTTGACCTTGTACTTGTCAGCTTCCAGAATGGCGAGACTAAACTTCTGTTCTTTGTAAATTATCCAGTTGATAGTATTCTCTGAGAGTCACATAAAACGGAGCAAGACATCTCTCATGCTATGCAAACTTTGTTATATGCAACATCTTTTCAGCAAGTAGATTTATCTCATGGTATTCCACTACTTCCTCTCTCACATATTTCTGTTCATTTCTGTAGTTCATTGAATCCTGCTGGTCTTCTTCCATCACTGGGAGTCAGGGTAACTCATGACTGCTTAGACTCTGCCCAAGAACCATCTAGTCTCCAAAAAGACTTATCAGAGTTCTCCTTCCCAGAAAACCTAGAATAACTCATGTCTGTTGATGAATTGTGTCCAATGTCTTGCCTGGAAAGCTGTCAGACAGAATAGGCTGTAACAGAACTCAACTCACCTCTGCTGGAAGCAAAAGTACTACAAATGGCATAACTCATTTCAGTCTCGAGAGCTTGCTGATGTACTACAGAGGAGGGGAGGTGCGCTTCTGGGGTTACAGTTTTGGTGTTTTTGGGAAAAAAACAAATATTTCTTTATGAACCTCAATAATGAAAGGCAAAAGATGGAAACAGCACTTTGGTTCTCTAACGTTCTCTAAGAAGGTAGCACTTAAACAACAGAATCTTAAACAGAGAAGAGGCACCACAGAGGCTAACGTACCTTCTCTGACTCGGCGTCATGCTGGGTGGTGGTCTCCAAGGATTCTAGATTCACAGCATCTAGATGTGTTCAAAGAGGTTTGTGATCAAATGCCAGCAACTGACTCCAGAATTAAAAACAAATATGTGTGGAGAAAAATCTGGCTTCAAATATCAGGAGCAAAATTCAGGTACTTTTCAAGATGATGGCTTGGTGGTACCAGAGAATGTCAACTGCAACTTTATTATATTTCTGAAAATTTTACTTATTTATTTTCAAGATATGCACATGCACACACACATACATACAGAGTCAGAAAGAAAGAGTGAGAGACAGAGACACAGAGAAAGAGAGACAATTAAAGAGAGAAAGATCTTCTATCCACTGGTTCACTCCTTCAAGGGCCTGGGCTGGGCTAGGCCAAAGCAAGGAACCAGGAGTTTCTTCTGGGTCTCCCACAAGGCTGGCAGGGTCCCAAACACTTGGGCCTCCTCCACTGCTTTTCCCAGGTTATTAGCAGGGCACTGGATCAGAAGTGGAGCAGCTGGGACATGAACCAATGCCTACATAGGATTCTGGCATTGCAGGCAGCAGGCTTAATGCACTGTGCCACAATGCCAGCCACAGAGTAATACTTTTAAGTTTCATCCATGGTGTAGGATGCATTAATGCTTCCTTCCTCTTTATAGCTTGATTTTATTACAATTTATGGTTGCATACTACATTTCATTTGTCCATTCATCAGAGAACAATTAAGTTGTTTCCACTTTGGGGCTGTTATGAAAAATAGCTGACTTAGGAACAAGTTTTGGTGTGACCATACATTTTGATTTCTCTTAGAATACTAAGATATATCCCTAGGAGTGGAACTGATAGATAATATAAAAGCTTTATATTTTACATTTTGAACAACTAACACCATTCTCATCAGCAGTGTATGAGTTCCAGTTTCTCTACATTTTTGCCAACACTTGTTTATATTTGAGACTTTTATAATCATATCAGTGAGTATGAAGTGGTACCTTTCTGTGATTTTAATTCAAACTCGATTGATGGATAATGATGTTGTGCTTACTGGCCATTTGTCTGTCTTCTTTGAAAAATATCTAATCATATAATTGGCACATTTTTTAAAAATTTAGTCATAAGAAATTTTTGTATATTCTAGGTAAATATCCCTTGGCACATTTTAAAAATATTTTCCTCATACTCTGGATTCTTTTCATTTTCTTTAAGCATCCTTTAAAGCACAATTTTTTTTGAAAAATTTTGATGATTTTATCTTATTTTTTCTTTCATGATTTGTGATTCTGGTGTAATAAGGTTTGGGGAAAGCTTTGCTTAACCCAATGTCATAAAAAATCTACTCCAATGTTTTAATGTAAGTGTTCATAATTGGAAATATTATTTCATTCTTTTTCTAAACCAAAAATGTGTGTATAGTGTGATGAAGTGGTTCATTTGGCTACTCAGGCTACAGCCATTACTGAAAAGAATATCTTCTTCACTGATTTGTCTTGATACCCTTGTCAAAATCAACTGGCCTTACATGTGAGGAATTCTTTCTGGAATGTCAATCCCATTCAATTGTCTAGATGTCTATCCTGTGCTACTACTACACTGTCTTGATTTCTGCAGCTTGGTTATAAGTTTTAATATCAGGAAGTATGAGTCATCTAACTTTGTTCTTTTATAAGACTGTTTTGGCTATAATGTGTCTCCTGCATTTCCACAGAAATTTAGGCTCAGCTTCAGTTTCTTCAAATTAGCCATTTGTTTTGTCAATGGTGATCAGAAAATCAAAAATTTACAACTCAATTTGAGAAGGATTACCATGTTAGGAATAATAAAGTTGTCTGATTCTTGAACATGAACTCTGTCTCCATTTCTTTAGTTCTCCTTCCATTATTTCAGTGATGTCTTTGAGTTTGGGGAGTATATTTTTTCAATTTATTTTATTGGATTTACCCCTATGTATTTTATTCTTTTGATGCTATTGTGAATGGAACTGTCTTCTTAACTTCATTTTTAGATTGTTGATTGCTGGTATATGGAAGCAAAACTGACTTTTGTATACTGATCACGTGTTCATGTATTTCTTTTTCACTGGAGTTACAATAACTTACCAAAAACTTCAAGCTTAAAGCTATACAAATTTTAGTCTTTTACAGTTCTGGAAGTTGGACGTCTGAGATGGATCTGTCTTGTAGTTTTGCAGTGCGTTCTCTCTGGAAGCTCTAGAGAGGATCTCTTTCCCCACCTCTTCCAGATTCTAGAGGCCACCTATATTCCTTAGCTCATGGTCCCTTTCTCCAAATTTTCCATTAGCAACATAGCATCTTCTCTTCTGTAAGATTTTGCTCCTGTCCTCACATCTTCCCTCTAACTGACCCCCTTACGTTACTCACATAAAGACCCTTGTGATGACACCGGACCCATCTGGATAATCCAGGGTAATAGTCCATCTCCAAACTCTCCACATAATCACAGATGCACATCTCTTTTATCATGCAGATAATACATCCACACGGTCTGAGGACATAGGCACCCTGGGGGAGGGGACTTTACTTAGTCTACCAGCGCACCTTGCAATCTTGCTCAAACTACTTAATTTTGATACTGTTTAAGTGGACAGGACCATGTCACCTACATATAGATACAGCTTTATTTTTATTATGGCATACTTCTTATTTTAAAATAGTTACCAAATTTCCCAGACCAAAACATCCAGCACGTTGTTGAACAGACATGAAGAGAGTGAGCATCTTTGTCTAGGACCTGATCCCAGGAGAAAGCTGTCAACTTTCCACCATAACCTGGGATGTTAGCTGTGGTGTTTTTGAAGCTGTACTTTATCAAGATTGAGGAAGTTCCTTTCTATTCCTAGTTTGTTTAGTTTGTTTTTTTCCCCTGTTGTTAAGTGATGGTAGATTTTTGTCAAATAATTTTTCTGCATCAATTCAAATTATCACATGATTTTTGTATTTTCTTATATCAATTGCTTTCCAATGAATACATGAGAAATAGAATACATGGAGGTATTTATCCCAATCTTGAATTCTTGGAGAAATTTCCACTTGGAATATAGTATAATTATTGTTATATGGTATTGGATTTGTTCTGGAAGTATTTTTTGAGAACTTCTTGAGAACTTTTGCACGTACATTCATAGAAGATATTGTTCCATAGTTTTTTTGTGATTTCTTTGATTTTGGTGTTAAGATAATACTTGCTTCATAGAATGAATTTGAAAGTGTTTGCTCCTCTACTTTTTGTGGATGACTGGCACTGATTCTCCTGTAAATATTTGATGTAATTGAGCAATAAAGCCAACTGAATCTGAGTTTATGTGTGTGAGAAGTTTTAAAATTACAAATTTAATTTCTTTGTTATAGGCATATTCAGATATTTTATTTCTTCTCTGTCACCTTGAGGAGTTGCACCTTTCTCGGAATTTGTCCATTTCATCTTAGTTATCTGACATGTTGCTTGCCGTCCCTTTGTAGTACTGCCCCCTGATTCTTTTGGTTTCTATAGGTTTAGTTGCTCTTCTTGCAGTGTCGTAGAGCAGAATTTAGGTTGTTGATATGCTCCATTACTTCTCCATAACTGTACTGGTCACTTTTTGTTACAACAGGGAAATATGTAAGACATGCTACCAAGAAGTTGGCAGGTTTACTTTGGCTTATGATTTTAGAGGTTCAAGTCTAAGAGAGGGTGGCCCCCATTGGTTGGGTACCTGTCTGGTGAGGCTGGAGGATGGCAATGTGGAGTGTGCAGAGAAGAATCACATGGCAAGCCAGCAGTCAGAGAGAACAGCTAGTGCCAACTCCAGGTTGTGTAAACAACCCTCTTGGGAGAATTACCTGGTGAAGTCACACCCACATAACCCAAGGACCTCCCACTAGGCTCATCTCCCAAGCACTATCATCAGATTAGCTTTCCACCCTCCTAGTACCATCAACTTCTGACTTTGAGAAAGAATGTCTGCATGGACTTAGAAGCCATATCCCATTCAAACCATACTTTTAATGCAGGTACTTACGCTACAAACTCCCATTTGAAGTGTGATTTCATTTCAGCCAATACATTTTGGTACCCTTTGTTTTCATGCTAAATCATTTCAAGGTTTCTCTAATTTCCTTTGTAATTTCTTCTTCAAGTCAATGGTCATTTGGCAGTGTGCTGTTTCCTTGTGTTGTTTTGAGGGTCCAGATTGTTAATAACAATATTTGTTACCTCCAAGGTCTGTACTTCAAATGTTTTTTGCCCTCAGTTACTCTTTAAAATGATGTCAAGGCTCGCACTGTGGTGTAGCAGGTAAAGCTGCCTCCTGCAGTACTGGCATCCCATATGGGCACTGGTTTGAGTCCTGGCTGCTCTGCTTCCAATGCAGCTCTCTACTATGGCCTGGGAAAGCAGTAGAAGATGGACCAAGTCCTTGGACCCCTGCACCCACATGGGAAATCCAGAAGAAGCTCCTGGCTCCTGGCTTCAGATCGGCACAACTCTGGATGTTGTGGACAACTGGGGGAGTGAACCAGTGGATGGAAGACCTCTCTCTCTCTCTCTCTCTCTCTCTCTCTCTCTGTCTCTCTCTCTCTTTATCTCTCCTTCTCCCTCTGTGTAAGTCTGACTTTCAAATAAATAAATAAATAAATCTTTAAAAAAAGAAATAATGTCAATACAGATCTACAATTTGCTTATGATTTGGCAAAAACATATTGTAAGCTGACGGTTGGATTTGTGCAGTTTTCTTAGGAGTCTACCCACCTTACTTTAGAAACCCTTGCATGAAACAGACGATTTCATGAGGTAAGTGGACAGAATCTCCATGAAACATTTTAGGTGGCAAACTTTATCTCAGGGCAGAATCCAAAACCCAGATCTTTTCATCAAATTGCAGCTAGCAAGGGAGGTTCTCATCTCCACTCATATAACTCCCAGGGACCTTTGGTAAGAAATAGCACTAGCCAAATTTTCCCAGGAAAAGTTTGGAAAAGGCAATGGAATGGCTGGTTCATATTTTGAAGATCTATGGTCAAATACCTCTCATCACCATAATGGGTTACTCATGCCAGCAAACAGTTCCCTTCTCACAAAAACAGTGAACTAATCAAGGTTTACTTTGAGACGTCTGCTTACTTATGTTCATCAATTGTAAAATATTAATCACAGAATCTTCCTCACATAATCAGATAGTTTCTTTAAAATAGCATCATGACCCTAAAAATTCCTTCCCTTTCTCTGAGACATTAAGTGTCTTCTGTCAAGGTGACATTTTTTCCCCCTTCTGAAGTAGGCTTAATAAAGTTACAGATACTTAATTGAAAGGTTATTCTGATGGTCTTCTTGGAAACCAAAAGCCATAATCAGAAAAGCAAACAGATAGACTTAACATTGCATTAATCTTACAGCCACTTTTAATATTACCTTAGAACATAATGGCAATATGGGAACACTTTCACTTAAAAATCAGATGCTGACTTTATGCAAAATTTCATGAAAAATATTTCTAAATTGTATTTGTTTTTACAGTATTTAGAATGAGCCAAATCATTTTGGATTGAGTGAATTTTGCTAAATAAATCATTTGTCTAAATAAAATATTGCTAATGTTTGTATCCTATATTTTCCCTTTTTAAAAAATCATGATAATATGATATAAATAGTATGTGTAATTGTAATATTTTTCTACAGCTATAGCCAATAAATGTAAAATGTGTAATGCTGTTAGGGTTTACTTTTGGCATTACCTCTGCCCTTTTTTTTTCATTTGTTTCATGTCTTCTCTTGTTTGAGATCTAGGACAATCATATTTCCCCATGTCTTTCTTAGCATGAAAAAAAATACATTGACACTTTGATAATGCAGGAATTTTCACTTATAAAAACATTTGAAAAAAGTATAAATACTTGTGTCATTTCAGGAATCAGGGATTAGAAATACATTTTCCAAAGAGCAATGCCTTCCTAATGGTAATTATACATGAATGGACCCATATTTTAGTCATAAATTTTGAATTTTTTTCTATAACAAAACTTCTCAACATTTTTTATTTCCCGTAATAAATATTTGTTGAAAGTTTAATGAAGGGGTAGGTCATTGCGGTGCAGCTGGTTGAAGCGCTACCTGAGATGCTCGCATACCATATCACAGAGCTGGTTTGAGTCCTGGCTCCTCCACTTTGTATTCAGATGCCTGGTTATGTGCCTGGGAAGGCAGCAAATACTTGAGTTCTCACCACCCAAGTGGGAGACCTGGATGGAGTTCTGGACTCCTGTTTTTGGCCTAATCTAGTCCCTGTCGCAGGCATTTGAGAAGTGAACTAGTGGAGAGTAGATGGATGGATCTCTCCGTTTCTCATTGTGCCTTTCAAGTAAATGTGTTTTTTTAAATAAAAGATTATTGACGTGCAAAATGACCAAAAGTCATTAAAAATATGACTTTGCTGAGATGCAGTTGGACAAGTGTCACCTGAGAGAAAGTGTAGTGTATGCCTTTTCTGAAACTCGCCTTGGTGAGCCTGACATGTTCTTAACACCTTTCTCTAAACAACAAGTGACGGGTCACAGGGTTATGATGGGTCTTTGAGAATGTTCTCAAATAATCCCTGAGACAATCCCGACACCACATGGTCATCGCTCACCCTTATCATAAGACAAAACTATAATAAGCTTAGTTATAGATCCAGCTGGCCTTTATCTGTGATTCATGAAGCTGTGAAGACTCCATTCTATAGAACGACAAAAGTCCACAGTGGGTAATAGCAAAACAGTGGATTTTTAGGGTGTGGACCAGGAGAAAGAACATTAGAAAGAGAGCTAAAGGGTTAGCCTCAGGGTAGTTTGGGTACCATAGACTGGGAGGTTTAAACAACAAGCATTTACTACTCACGTTTCTAGAGGATGGGATGTCCAGCATCAAAGTCCCAGCAACCTGGAGATGTGATGAGGGCTCTCTTCCTGGTTCAACAATGGCTGCCTTCTTGCTGGGTCCTCACATGGAAAACAGAGGAGAGGAGAGAGAGGAGAGTGAGAGGAGAGACAGAGATAGATCGAGAGAGAGAGAGAGAGAGAGAGAGAGAGAGAGAGAATATGAAGGGGGAGGGAGGCTCTGGGGTCCCTTCTTTAAGGGCTCAGTTCCACTTGTGAAGGTTCTACTCTTATGACATCACTGAAACCTAGTTACATCCCAAGGGCCCCACCTCCACATAGCGTTAGGTAGGAGATTCAGGCTTCAGCGTATGAATTTGGGGATGCCTAAACATTCAGTCTGTAGCAGTATCTAAGAGGGCTAATGGTGCCAGAGCTTTCTCTAGTGCTAGAGTTACACTAGTGAATTGTGTGAGGTTGGAGCAAGGAGGTAAATACTGGAGATAGCTGCCCAAGCCTGGAACTTGAGGAAGCTGGGCCATGGGTGGCCCTGAGAATAGATTTTGGGGGTCATGGGTGCTTGGAGATCAAGGGAGTAATCCTGGCCCATGACTCAGCAGCCATTTGGAGGAGCAAGGAGCTTGCATTTCAACCCAAATCAAAGCTGCTTTTGCTGTGCTGTGGAGACAGGTGTGCACATCTACAGTGTGGAGCCATTGCTGGAGAAGGGGCAGCCGCACCAGGAGCACACGGGCAGCATGGGCTTGCTGGGGATGCTGCACCCGTCTAACCCGCTGGCCTTGGTGGGTGGGGGTAGCAGCCTTGAGTTCTCAGGGATCTCAGTAGTGCTGCCCTACAATGCCAGGAGGCCGAGAGCTCCTAGGAGAATCTGCTGGCGCTCACCTTCCCCCAGCCAGCGCTGGCTGTGCAGGTGTGCCATGGCAAGATCGTGACCAAGCTGAGGAGCCACACCCTCTCTGATAGTCCTCTCCCTGACCTCTGCTCCAGCCTGGAGAAACAGCTGCTGTTGTTCCCAGGGCACAAGCCTGGGCCTGGCGAACACAGAGCCTGGCACCCCATCCACTCCATTCACCAGCAACACAGCTTAGAGAGACACGGCATGAGTGTACCTTAACCAGCCAGCCACCGAAGTGGCTGTAGCCTGCCAGGAGGACACCGTTATTATTTTTTTTTGACACAAGATCCAAAGACAAATTGGTGACTGACCCAGCCACTCTTCAATGCATTAACATCACCCAATGCACATCCAATGATAAGGGTCCTGTCCATGTCTTTGTGCTCAGGGGTACCCGCTGCAACTGATCCCTCATCTGTATAGCTGGGAACTTCCTCAAATATTTCTCCCTCTTGATGAAAACTGTAGCCAAGAGGCCTTTGACATGCAACTTGACATCTATGATGAAGATGACTTTTAAAACCCTGGGGGTATTACTGAGAGCTCTGTCTCTGTTTCCACTGCCAGATTAAAACAACGAGAACAGGGTTTGAGGGTCAAGGCAAGAGAAGTTCACTCTACTGATAGATGAGGAGGCAGCAGGCTGACATCTTAAAAACTGAGGTCTGGGGTTGTTGAGAGTGGTCTGGTTTTTTTGAGACTGCATTGGGGCTGGCACTGTGGCATAGTGTGTACAGCTGCCACCTGCAGTGTCAGCATCCCAGGTGGGTTTGATTTCTGGCTGCTCCACTTCCCATCCAGTTAATGGCCTTGGAAAAGCCATGGGACATTGTCACACCCCTCCCCCTTCCCCAGTCACTACAAGGTTGACTCTGTGACTTGTGTTGCTAAAGGCAACAGCTGTGTCCCAAACAAGCCCCTACAAAGCCACGGCACCTTTTGATCTCCTCTCTCACTCCTTTGTTGTTGCCATGAGCAGTCAGAGCTTTAACAGTTGACAGTTCCATGGCATTGTTGTCCAATAGATAGCTGGTACCACTGAGAAGCTACCAACAGCCCTAAGTTAGAAGAAACATGCATTAACAAATTTTGCCTTTTTCCTTCTTTCTTTTGTCCTAAGCATTTAGAATAACTTCTGTTTTGATTATCTTGTGATGTGTAAAGTTTATAGAAGTTGGAGTTTTTTAAAGTAGTGATGACTTTGTGAATCTTAGACTCTAACTGATGTGTTAGGTCCTGGACAAGTTGATTTTTGGTCACCTTCTTTAAGTGGAGTGCCACAGCACTGGACATAGGGCCAGCACAAGGAAAAGAAGACATATTTGTAGCATTGGGGCATTCAATTTACTTTAAATACAAAATTCCCTGAGACAGGAATGTGAACATTTTCTTTCCTTGACCTTCTAAATTTTATACAACCGATGAAATCTCCCAAGTTGCTTCATGCTAAAAATCTCTTTTCTATTTCAATTGCCTCAAAACTCCCAAGAGTTGAGAAGCTTGTGGTCATAACATAATCCATCAGATTTGTTCTAAAATTCATCCATGCAAACTATAGCTGAGTTAGAAGCCTGTTTGGTATGTAGAACGTAAGAAGTTAACTTAGAGTAAATTACTCAGAATAAATTCAAAAGAGATTTGTAAAAGATGCCAGAATGTTTATGGAGAAAATATGTTTTAAATAAGGTTGTGGATTTTGATGGAACATACACTTAAAAATTTTGTTATTAGGTTGATAATGAACTCATAAAGTTCATAAATTACCTCAACTTTGATAATTTCCCTATCAATGAATCGTAAGGTGATTTCTGTGTTTTGAAGAGTGACAGACTTAAGCACAACTCTGACTGTGAACCACCCAGCAGCCACCAAACCAAAGGGCACCAGAGCCGTGTGCAAAAACAGTTCTGGCAAAAAGTCCCCAAGTTCCCTCATACCTGGCTGTCTTTCTTGCGAAAGGGCAAGCTCTGAATACCCTTCCTCTTGCTCTTCTATCTTTCTCTTTTTCACTTTGGAGCTCGTGTTTTGAAGCCTGAGAAAAAGGCTGGGGTGTATACTCTAACTTTCTTGTCTGTCCCAGAACCAGGAGTTCAAGGTAAAGAGAGTCCTGGGGAGGGTGTTTCCTGGGGAGGTCCCTTTTGTCAACCTGGGAGTGAGATTTCATGTAAGACATTGCTTGTGTCTTACAAGGTACAGCCCTTCCAGACTTGTTTGTAACCAGCATGATGTGATGGAACCTTGCCAATCAGGTCATTCCGCGTGATCCTTGATGCACTGCCCTTTATTTTCTGAGTGATCAATGGAATCAATGGAATTTCTCTCATCTCCTGTCTGCGGCTGTGGAAAATCAGAGTTCTATCCCTGTCCCCCAGGATGAGGGACGCCTTCTGGTTTTCTTTCTATATCCGTGTTCCACCCACAACCCTCAGTATTCATCTGCTGCTATTCCTGACCGTCTCTTGGCATCCTTCACTCTGGAGGGACCCTAAACTCCAGCACCGCAGCCTGCCATACCTGCTCTAAGGGGCTGCCCCTGTGTCCCACACTGTGGTGTTCTTGGCTCCACCCCAGCATTGCTCCCCTTCCATTGACTATCCCAGACCACCTGAGAGCTTTCTGGTTGTAATGATAGTATAACCATCTCTCCTAAGGTTGTTTCTATCAGGACTGCTCTGTTTTTCCATTATTCCCTTCATTGTCAAAGTCCGAGGCATAAAACCAAGAAGCTATGAGAAGATCTTAGAAGATTCTTAAGCCTCCAATTGGCAGTAACTCTGCTGAAAGTAATAGTTTTCAGTAAAATCTTAGAAATTTGATTCCTAAGAAAACTATATTCGTATGCATTACCATGTGGCTATATAGCATTCAAATACCAGGGCAGGGGCTAATGTTTGGCTTAGTGTAAAGATGCCTGCATGGCAATTGGAGAGCTTGGATACTTGCCTCTGGTTCCTGATTCCAGCTTCATGCTAATTCAGACTTTAGGAAGCAGCAATATTGGCTCAAGAAGTTGGGTTCTTCTTTTTTTAAAAGATTTATTTATTTATTTGAAATCCAGAGTTAGAGAGAGAGAAAGAGAGAGAGAGAGTGAGAGAGAGAGAGATTTTCCATCCACTGGTTCAATGCCAAATGGCAGCAATGGCCTGAGTTGGACCCATCTGAAGCTGGGAGACAGGAGCTTCTTCTTCTTTTTTTTTTTTATGGGCAGAGTGGACAGTGAAAGAGAGAGAGAGAGAGAGGTCTTCCTTTGCCATTGCTTCACACTCCAATGGCAGCCGCAGCTGGCGCGCAGTGGGCGGTGCATCGCGCTGATCTGAAGCCTGGAGCCAGGTGCTTCTCCTGGTCTCTCCCATGGGGTGCAGGGCACAAGCACTTGGGCCATCCTCCACTGCACTCCCGGGCCATAGCAGAGAGCTGGCCTGGAAGAGGGGCAACTGGGACAGAATCCGGCACCCCAACCGGGACTAGAACCCCGTGTGCTGGCGCCGCAGGCGGAGGATTAGCCTAGTGAGCCACGGCGCAGGCCAGGAGCCAGGAGCTTCTTCCGTGTCTCCCACATGGGTGCAGGACCCAAGGACTTGGGCCATCTTCTACTGCTTTCTCAGGCCATAGCAGAGAGCTGGATTGGAAGTGGAGCAGCCAGGTCTTAAACTGGCTCCCATAACGGATGCTGGCACTACAGATGGTGGCTTTACCCGCTACACCACAGTGCCAGCCCCAGTTGGGTTCTTGACCCCCACAAGAGAGATCTGGATAGCATTTCAGGCTCCTAGGTTTGGCCCCAGCCTAATCCCAGCTCTTGTGAGCATTTGGGGAGTGAACTAGTGGATGGCAGCAATCTCTCTCTCTCTTTCTCTCGGTGTGTTTGTCTATCTCTGTGTGTGTCTCAAATAAGCAAAGTAAATGAAAATATTTAAAAACATAAAAACCTAAGTCCCCTTTAAGAAAACAGAAGTTCTTTCTCAGCAAATCCATTACAGCAGCTCCCTGTCTATATGGGGGTCATTGTTTACGTGGTGGTCCATTCCCCTTGTTAATTTGACTCTAGTCACCATAGTTTCCAACTTGCAGTTCCCTCTCCTACTCAAGGCTACTTACCGTGCTGCGCTCTCTTCTTGGAGTCACCAGGATGGCACCCTCCTTCTCTGCATTTAGCACTCGTCTCAAATGTCTCATTGCAGGGTGGCACCTCTTGTCCTCAATTAAAAGCAACAAATACTTATCCAGTGCGGTGACTGTTCCTCGCCACCACCGGAGAATTAGGCAGGCTGCCTGCAGCTTGCCTTGGCAGAGGAGGGGAAGTGCGCCACCTGCCACTCAGCTTTCCCCGAACCCCAG